CTCCCTCATTGGCTTCAATGCAGTATACATAATTTATTGGTACAATCCCCCCCCACACCTCTCCAAACCCCACCCCCTACCCCCAAATATAATCCACTCTGTGGAACATGAATTTTTAGGGGCTAAAGTAAAGGATGCTCAGTACCTTGAGTCTCCCAGCTTCACTGTTACTGGTAGACATGTAAGAACAGAAGAGGCAAAGAGAACTGCAAACAAGGAGTGTGCACAGTGGAGACTCAGTGGGAGCAGGAGGCAGAAGCTTAAGACGCAGATTTAGATACCCTGGGCAACTGAAGGAAATTTTAAGAAAAGGGAACACCCTTTCCAAACAAGTAGAAGAAAGAGTTACTTAAGAGGAGGGGTAACCCACCACTTCAGGTTTTTGTTTGTTTTATGGTGAGAAAAATTTCTATTTAGAATTAGCTAGCTAGACTCAGTTTAGATGATCCCAGTTTTGTTGGCAACATCCAAAGCATCATAGTCAGGAGCAAGTCGAACATAGGCCTTCTTCTCTCCATCAGGCCTAATCAAAGTGTTGACCTTGGCCACATCAGTGTCATAGAGCTTCTTCACAGCTTGTTTAATTTGGTGCTTGTCGGCCTTGACATCCACAATGAACACAAGTGTGTTGTTATCTTCTGTCTTCTCAGTGGTCAGGGGAAATTTGTTTCTCCTGGGGGCGCTCTTCCGGGGGGTATTTGGGTATTTTGGGTATTTTTTTTTGGCTGTGGATGCCCTTCAGGACGCCTTCTTGGCCTTTAACACCTTTGCTTTGGCTTCAGTTTTGGGAAGGGCAGGGGCTTCCTTCTTCGCTTTCGGCGCCATCTTCCGTTAAGTCTGTTCTGAATCATAAGTACCCACTGGGAGTTGCCCCATGGAATTAGGGAGCTCTGGTGGCCTAGTAAAAAGCTGTGCTGCTGTACCAAAGGCACATGGTTCAAATCCACCAGCTGCTCCGCAGGGAAAAAAAAGTAGGCAACTCCTTTGTGATTCAGCTGCCCCTGAAAACCTGCTGGAGGGTCAACTATGAGTCAGTTCTACAGTACCCAACAACATAGCCTTTACAGAAGCAGACTGCCACATCTTTGCCCCATCAACTGGTGTTTGGCTGGCAGCCAAGTGCTTAATCACTGCGCTACTGGAAAGTCTGAAAAGTGGCAAAAGGGAGGGGGACCCTAAAGAGTGATGGTTAACATGTCCAGTAGACTACAGCAACACTCTGAACAACAGATCTGACCTTTGCCCTGCCCTGTGTGATTGTCTCAAGTCTTTGCCATCCTCAATCCATGATCGTACTCCCTGTGCCAATCCATTTCATTGAGGGTTTTCATTCTCCCTACCTTTTCTGGTACAATGTCTTTTGAAGTTATGTGACACAAAGTTTTAGCATCGTTGCCTCTAAGGAGCCTCCTGGTTGTACTTCCTCCAAGACAGATACATTCCTTTGGCAGTCCATGGAATGTACTCAGGGAGCTCTGGTGGCTAAGTGGTAAGGAGTTGCACTGCCAGCCCAAAGTCAAGTGGTTCAAATCCATCCACTGTTGTTGGAAAAAGTCTCTTCTCCTGGGTCATTAACTGTCTCGGAAAATCCACGGGTGGGCCAACTGTGGATCATTTCTGACTTGATAGTACTGAACAATACTCTTTCTGAAGGACCTTTGTTGTTGTTGTGTAGCATCGAGTTGGAACCAACCCAGAGCTGACTCTCCAGTGGATTTTCAGAGACATTTAATCACACAATAGGAGAGTGCTCAAAGATATTCAATACTCCTCACCAGCACAATTCAGAGGCATTCTTTATTCTTTATTTATTGTCCAATTTTCATAACAAGCAGATGAAAAAATGTGGTTTGGATCAGGCACACCTTAGTCTTTAAACTGGCATCCTTGCTCTGTAGTACTTTATGGAGGTTCTTGACAGCAAATTTCCCCAGTGCAACACTTTAAATTTCTTGACTGCTGCTGCTATGCATGTTGCTTATGAATCCAAGTATAATGATGTTGCCTGGTGGTCCAGTGGTAAGTAAGGATTTTTGTTTTCTTGTGTTGAGATATAACCCATATCGAAGGCTGTTGTCATAAGTGTTTCAGGTCTTCACATTCTTCAAGAAAGGTTGTGGCACCAGCATAATGTGGGTTGTTGATGAGTCTTCCTCTAATCTTGATGCCACATTCTTCTTCATGTATTCTAACTTCTCAAAAGCACAAAATTACCAGAGAGCTAACTGTTGAGTCAGAACTAACTCCTCGCTGACCTTCCAGTGGGTTTTCAGAGGCAGCAAATGGCCATTTTTCTCACTCGCAGCTGGTGGATTTAAACCGCCTACCTTTGGGTTGGCAGCGCAGCTCCTTACCCACTGAGCTTAGTCACTATACTACACTGTACTTTCCAATTTGAAAAGTTTTCTGTAAAACAACATCTGCTTCAACTTGTAGGTGGCAGCATCCAATCTCGTGTAGTGTGTGTCTCCTGAGTGTTGTAGCTCTGTGTTTCATTTTCCTTCAGAAATATCACTATGAAGTACATCCTGCCTCCCAAACAGCAAAACTGATGCCAGTGATACCAGCAGCAGGAGGCAAAGGGGATGTTGTCAATTTGGGAATGAGACAAAAGGTTATCCAACAACAGGGCGGCAGAACATCAGTGGGCGCCATCGCTCATGACCTAGGCCCATCGCACTCCAGAATCACAACAATCCTCAGGACAAAGAAAAAATTCTCCAGATTGTTAAAGGATCAGCTCCAAGCTACAAGACAAATGCAAAGAAAAAATGCTGAGCAACTGTATCAGATAAGGGCTCTGGAGGTGTAGTTACACAGTGAATTGTACTGCTAATGCAAAAGCTAATCTTTCTGGTGGTTCAAATCCTCTAGACCCTCCATGGGCCAAAGATGGGCAAACTCCTCCCATGCGATTTACAGCCTTTGAAAAAGCGCTGAAGGACCCAGCTATGAGTTCCAACTTGATGGCAATAAGCGAGTGGAGTGAAGCCAGTAACAAGGAGCTCTGGTGGCCTAGTGCCTAGTGCATCAGGTTACTAAGCAAAAGGTTGCCAGTTTGAATCTATCAGCTAAGATGGGCAGTCTCTTCCTGTAACTATTTACGACCTTGAAAACTCAAAGGAGGGTCCGTATGAGTTGAAATCAGTGAAATGAAAGTGGGTTTTGGTTTTGTTAACCCAGTAACCAAGATGTCTATTATGACGCCTCACTTCACAACATCTTGCATTTATGATCATAGTGGGGGTGGGGAAGCACCTCTCATCCAACTATTTTGCACATTAATGAGTTTGTGGGCATGGTGACAATGGTGGTGTGGCTGTCCTCTCAAGGAGGGTCACCAGGCAGCCTCCAGGAAGCAGGGCCAGGCTCACCAGCACCCTCCACAGCACGTCCAGCTGCTGCCCCTGACAGTGGCTTCTAAGCCAATACAGGCAGTTGGAAGCCAGCGAGGTTCTGGAATCTTGGCTCCTGTGCAGCCTAAGGCTCAGAAGCTCAAAGTTGCTGTGAGTTGAGAAGGGATGAAAGAAACTATTTTGGAGAAGGTGTTAGGGAGGAATTCCTGGGAGCTTAGTGACATCCCAAATGAGTAGGCCTGCAAATGAATAGGCCTGTAACCCCCACCGGTGCCCTCTGAG